GAGCTTGATGCATTTGTAGCCAGAAAGTGTGCATGTCCACATGTGTGTGTAAAGGGGAGGGGAGGTGCTTTCGGCTCTCCTGAATTGGGGAGTGGAAGATAAGGGGGGGGTGCGGTCAGGTAGCCCAATCTTAGCACCACCAACCATAACATGGATGTTTGCACTTAGCTGAGTCTCTTTCTCTTTACGCAACTACTGTTCTTCAAAACAGATCTTTCTTACCTAAATTCCCTTTCCACATCTGCAGAGGTGTGGGGCCTGCAGAATTTCCAATCCCTGATGGCTGGGGATAATAGGGCAGAAACGTTTTATAACGTACATATTTGCTCGGAGGGACAGCAATTCTATCTTCTACTCCACAAGCATGTCCAATGTCAACCAGAAAAAATCTCTAAAACCAGGATGATCTCTTTTTGTTATGTATACTTATTAAGAATTTTCTCGTACAATAAAAGACAAATCAAAAGAAACAAAAAGAGAAAGAAACAAAAAAGCACAAGAAAAGAAAAAGAAAGAAAAAACTAAAGTTAAAGAATATATGAATGACTTCTGACCTTCTTTTCAACAGATAATTACAATCTAGTTGTCCCTCCTCCCTCTTAAATATTTACAAACCAGGATTATCTCAAGAGCATCCCTTCCCCCAGGGACCAATACCAAAGTGTCTTCCCAGGACTTGGCAGGAAATCCAGGGCACTGGATTCACACACAATCCTAAACCCAGGTTAACGAGGCCCAGTTCCTCTGTTTGTAGAACATGCTCTGCCTAAACGAGTACAGGTAGTCCTAGATTAGCAACTGCCTTGGACAGTGACCATTCACAGTTACAACAGTGATGAAAAAGTAACTTTGCGATCAATGCCCGCATTTACAACCTTTACAGGTCTGTAAAGCAAAGGAAAGCTGAAGTCAGATCACAAGCAGAGTCATGGTTTCACTTAGTGACCACTTCATTTAATGACCAAGTTGCCAGTCCCAACTATGGTTGCTAAACGTGGACTCCCTGTACCTCATATTACACCTTTACTTGTTTGCTTTTTTTTAACCTGCCACAATAGAAAAACTCACGCATTGTGCTGAGATAGTGAAGTTAAAATGAATGTTTGCATGACTTTGAAACCATGCTTTGCAAATTTCTGGATTGTGTGACCCATCTTAAGTACTCACTTGAGCATCCATCCATCCAAATAAATAAATAATTGCTTCTCCCTCTCTCTGCATTTTGGGCGGGAAATGTCATCTGTGGCTTGGAACTGAAAACCTGTGAGTCACAGGTAGATGCCTCTCAGGTAACAAATATAGGATAATTGGGCAGCGAAGAGCGCCATTTCATCTGCTCAAGAGGCTACCTATTGCCCGGCAGCCCAGTTAGTCCACTAAATAAGTAAATAAATAAATAAATAAAGCCCAAAAGCTGTTGGGGAGCAATTGCGTTCATTAAGACAAGCAACCGTTTCAGTTCTTCTTCACTTTTTCAGAGCGGATCTACAATGGGATGGGGAAGAGCAGAAGTGGAGAGACCATGCAGAGCTGAGCAAGGTGGAAAATGGCCCAGGTCTGCATTTTATAACAATCCTATAATGGACTGCAGGAGACGATACGCAAATACAGATGGCAAAGCTAAGCATGTATTCTCAGAGGAAAGCCCCAACAAGTTTAATGGAACTGACTCCCTAGTCGATTTAGGATTGCAGCCTTAATTAGCGTAAAGTATGTTAAGCACAAAGCAAAGTCCAAGCACAAATCTTATGTAATGGGAAGTCCCATTGGCTGAATTCACACAACACGCTGTATTAGAGGGTCGAGTAATTTGTGGTTCGGCCTACTGCAGCAACCCAACCATTGTCTGAGGATCTTGTTTGTACCAGATCATTACATTACGATCATTTGTCTGGGCACAGCACGTGCTTTGCTGTTTGATTAACTGAAGTTAACTTTAGAGGTTAGCATGTTATATTAATATAACGAATGTGTTATTTCCAGGTACGTATGCAAAGGGAAGAACGTCCTGGGACAAAGGCACCATAATAGCACTTTTCTTTAAAAAGATAGGAATGTTGTCCAGCTAGGTAGCACCCAGGTAACCTTGGCTGATCTCAAAAAACAGGGTTGGATTGACTCATGCTTGAATAGGAGACCACCAGAAAATACCAGGGGGTATAGGTTTGACTGAGAAGTAAATAATAATAATGAAAAATACAATGACAACTCACTTCCATACAGTTGCCAAGAAAACTACACCGATCTGTCCATGAATTTACCAGTGGAGCTTTACTCAAGAGGCTTTACGGAAATCTAAGTCTTACTGCTTAAGCAAACACACACAGATTCCTTGTGAATCCAAGAAAAAAAAAAGAGCTCTTACATAGCAAAGCAGGAGATTAATTTTAGGCCTTGCACTAGAGAAAGGATCAGTAGAAGCCAAACTGGATAGTTCCCCATTTGAATTCATACCACCGATTTTGGTTTCTATGGGCTTCCTACCAATATACCACATAATCTCCAGTTTGGTGAATATAAAGGCAAGCCACTGATGTGCTGAAATCTGGGCCTGAAAGGGTCCAGTTGAGTATTCTGCCAAACGCAGAATCCTTTCAGAAATTAACACCGTAAGATGCATAAAGTGGAATCCAAAAAGACAGAAGGGACATCTCAGGGCAGAGGCCACCACGAGGTTCTAGAAAAAGTGACTTGCTTCAAAACTCTTCTGGGGAACTCTGTGGAACCAGAACTTCCATCCTCGGCCTCTTTTACCATCTCCGATGCAGCTGTTTTCCACATGTGCAAATGGCCTTAAGAATTTCCTAGTCCTTCCATCTCTGCAGCACCAGCAAAGATGCTGAAGCAGCAAAAAAACTGCTTCCTCT